CTGATATTAGCCTACTAGCTCATATGAATATATGAGTCCTGCTTAAATTGAATCAAGGCTGATTTAAAAGTTACGACCTCATTTTGTATTTGAATTTTAGTGTTTTTTTTACAGATCCAAATAACTTAAAATTTTAATCGTTCATTCTTTTCATTAAGGCCCACCTAATAAAAATATTTTAAAAATAATTTGCACAAAATAAATTGACCAAAATACCCCCAAAACATTTCAGAGGTATTTTGATCAATTTATTTATTGTAAATTATTTTTTTGATTTTTTTAATAGATTTTTCTATTTTTGAAGAGCACACGCCTAAATTTTCAAGCTATTTGGATTCATATAAAAAATTTTAAAATTTAAATACGAAATGAAAAGGTTGTGGCTGTCAGATCGGCCCAGATTGAATCTGAACCATTGGGCTCTTATGTTCATATGAACTAGTGGGCTAATCCCAACATTTTCCATATATATATAATTTTCCTAGAAATGCTCTAGGCCATCCGATCAGCTCTAATGTTTGAGATCCATGATTTGCTATTTCTTTTTCCTTCTTTTCTTTTTAATCATCCATTTCTATTTCTTTTTTCTTTTATTCTTGTTCTTCTTAGTATCTCTATCATGTGAGAAAGATGGTGCAATCTACTGATAGAGCGGAAGAGAAATTGTTAAAGGGTTAGAGAGAGAAAAGGGGAGACAGACTAGGGCCATAGGGTCGTGGGAGATTGTGGGGCATGAGAGAAAGAAGAAAGCTTGGCCCCAACTTTTGCTATACAAAAAAGTTTGCAAAACAAGTTGGAATTGTTTTAATTTTAATGGAACTTTGGAGAATTAGTAATTAAAAGGATAAAATTGGGGGAATCTAACGGGTAAGGGGCTAAAAATGAAGGCATTTGAAGGGAAACTCATGTAAAGAAAAGAATGAAGATTTAAAATTTAAAACTCATGAAAACTTATCATATTTTTCCTACATTGTTCTTTCTATTTTTTTTTTATTGACAAGTATTAATAGTCTTTATTGATGTCAATCATGGAAAAAAAAGGTTACACGTCAAAAATAGAGAATATCATAACCAATAAGACACGATAGAGAGACACCCCTCTCTTTGGCTAAGAGTCTTAGCTTGCCCATCTGCCACACGCTTTGCCTCTATATTACCATGTACAAAAGTAATTTGAATAGATAGGCAGATGTCTCAAACATTCATCTATAATGATCTAAGCTTTCACGCCACACTTTTCTTTTTTTCCCTTTTGCATCATCTGATAATATTTAAAGAATCCCTTTTAACCACCAAAGGGCGAGCAATACCTCCCTCCTTGAAGATCAAAATACCCTGTAATAGAGCCTTAAGCTCTTCTAGTTTTCTTTTTGTTCTTTGTATTCTCTTTCTTCTAAGGGCCAGGCTTGGGCCACGGTCAGTTTGGTTTGGCTCGGCCTTGGCCCTTTGTTTTAAGCTTTTTTTTTGGTTTTTTATGTTATTTTATTTGGCCCAACCCAGCCTGCAAAGGGCCAGGGCTGGCCCCATGGGCACTAGGGCTGTTTTAGGGCTAAGGCTGGACCAACCCAGGCCCTAGCCTTCCAACCGTGTGGCTTAGTTTTTTTAAGGAAAATACAGGTTGCTTAGGGTGGAGGTATCATTGGAGTTCACAAGTGCCCCTGTCCCAAAGAAAGTAGTGGTTACTTAGGGTGAAGGTATCATTGGAGAGCACGATTGCTGCTGTTCCTTTGTGTTTGGGCACGCAGTGTTTTCATAGAATCAAGAAGTTTTTGATTGGACATTAGTGGTTACAATTTTTTATTTCTTGATAATGCATTAGGGGACTCCTCTCAGCAAGAGGAATGAAACTCAAGACGTGTTGTTGTGGTGTCCCCCCGCCTTGACTACAAAGCCACACGTCAGATACACAAAGTGATAGTGTAACCAGGAGGTGGTAAAATTCACTGATATGCTCAGCCAGGAGATAGTGGCCATGGCGATGCCAATTACATACGAATAGAATGTCACAGATGGGAAGGGAATAGAGAGGCGATGCTCATCCACCATGGAACGTATGGACTGGATATCAAGGCCTCTACAGTCATTGGTTCCAAGATGTGTAATCTGGTCTTCAAGGATAACACATGGGCAGTATTTCCTTGTACTCTTGTACAAGGTTAAAATGTATTATCAATATAAAGAAGGAAATTAAACCTGATTTGGAAGTGGGAAGTTGTATTTCTGCTTACTGATTTAAAGCTATCCAAGGTATTGAATAGATATAAGTGAATATTCAGGACTCCACTGAAAATTTCCAGACCCCAGACTATGTACTGATAATGTAAAATTGCTAATGGACAGAAAAAAAAACAGTTAAACATGTCGAATTTTGCAACACAGAGACTCATATGGCAGTAGTTACAGACTAAAAAGAAAATCTGTCTTGTCATCCTGAACGACAATAAATACAAAATGGGTCTTCTGATTAGATGAAGCAGCCTGAAATGGTTGATTTTTTGGCCCCATTGCTGTTTCAAATTGAGAGCAAATTTACAGCATGCCGCAGAATCAATATCGGGTGGGTTTCCTGAAGTTCAGTAGCCGTGAAGGCTAATTTCGAGAGACAGAGCAAGGACCCTTCCTAAAGGCACCTCCAAGCAGAAACAGAGTGCAATGGTGTGCCCTTCCACCCAACTGTCAAAGCCTTTCCATTCATCTCCAGTGTGCAAGAATCAGCATGCCTATGATTCTTCACTAAAAGACTTGCCTGATACAAGGCATCTTGGCTAAGCTCAACCTCTTCAAAACCCAACCTCTTTAAAAATAGCTTCCACACCTCAACCCCAACATGCGTGATTTTTCTTTCTCCTCCCTCTCTCCCCACCATGCTTCGAATCCCTGTACCCATGCACACTCTCTCTATCACCAATCGATTCGCATCATCGGAGTCAAAGAAGGCATCAAGAGAATCGAAATAAGCACTGTGATAGAACAAAACCTCAGTGAATCTCTTCACGAATGATGGAGAATTGTGCTTCCCTTCCACCTCTGTGATCACCATTACATCCGGACGCAAGCTGCTGATAACTTTGACAAGATTCTCCAAATAGTGGGGCTTAACTAGCACGCTGCTTAGCACCAGAGGTGCATAAACAGCTACCGACTCTCCATCTTCCATTGGAAATCTCTCTCTTATCTCTTCTCCCATGTCAGAGACAACAACCAGATTGAATGCAAAGGGAAGTTTTAGAGTTTGTGCGAAACTGAGAAGCCGGTTACCTGTTTTTTCCATCGTTTCTCTCGAATTTCCCACCATGGTTAGTTTTAGAAGCTGAACAGGGTGACCAAGCCTTGAAGAAAGACTCTGCATTACCATGGTCCAATGCCTCCCTGTTCTCACCTCAAGGTCAATCAAATGAATTCTTGCTGAAAAGGCCATCGCATCAAGTATAGCTTGACTTGCTGTTAATTGAAGTACTTTAAGAAAAGGAACGATCTGGTAAAATGCCCATGTTGCAGGGTGAAAACCCGTCAATACTTTCTTTTCCTCCCCAGTCTCTTGTGTTAAAGTCGGGTTTTTAGATTTTAACCCTGTCTCTTGCTCTAAAATCTCCCAAAGGGCATCGCCAAAATGGAGGACTAGCCTCTGAACTGGGTTTCCAACTGGTGAGGACTCGAAATCGCAGACCATGAGAAGCCTCTTTGCTCTTTCAAACTGCTTGTTTTCGATCTTTTCAGCTGAAGATAAGAGCAAGTGGGTTAGCTCTATGTTCTTGATGTCTTCATTGTTGACGTTTGAGAGCTGGGGATTGAATTGAAGAGAAAGGTCTTCACCATTGTAGAGGTACTGTTCCCCCGCTATCCTAATCACCTCCTCTGTGGAGAGCTTTCTCCCTCTTAGAGTTGGATTTTTGAGTTGAGTAACCTGATTAATTTCAGAGGTATTGCGAAGGCGTTTTGTCAGACTACTGTATGATTTTAGAGTATCTAAAGCAGATAGTGATGTTGGGTACCTCTGTGCTTTCTTATTCTCTGCAATTTCTGGCTGCACATTATCATAGCTCAAAAAAAGTGGATTTCTGTGGAGTCTTGATGCTCCGATTCCTATGCCGCCACCTTCTATTTCAGGTTTTTCAAATCTCATGGTGAAATTAGAGAGATTTTCTGGTTGTTTGATAGTTGAAACTTGAAAGTGGAACAAGAGAACAGGTCTGAGAACCCCAGGAATAGATATGGTTGTGGGTCTAGCTTGAGCTTTGGAGTCATCAAAAGTTGCAGAGGTTCTTGGTACTTGGAAACTTACAAAGATTTGGTTGAATGTGAGAAAACTAGAGAGAGGTGGAGGAATCAATGTGGGAGAGAGAGTGTTTTGAAAGGTTAATTTCCCTATCAATCCATAACACATAGGACACTTCGGTTAATTCCACAACAGCAGAGAACTTATCGATATCAATCTATATTCTGTTCGCATAGTAGAATGATATTTTTCTATCTTTCTTTCCAGCAAAAAGTTAAAATAATTCCTAGGCTCATAAAAAAAAAAGTAAAACCTTTCCTCAAAACTCACGAAAAATTGTACATCCACTCGCAAAACTTTCAAATCAATAATCCTGACCTTGACCAATATAGTTGTCAAGAAACTTAGGATTTTTAAGCGTTAAAATTTGTTTATATTGTGACCCATTATCTAGATCATCTATATTTTTAAGTGTTCACCGTTCTACAAGATTTTTACATTTTTTTTAGCTTCAAATTTCATAATTCATAATGGATGGTAGAATAGAGCCACGGATTTCTCATGACCGAAAGTGTTTTTTGGATGAGGTTTTGAGGAGAGCTTTACTCTTTTTTTTTTTATTCTATAAAGCCTAGGCCGTATAGAAATTGCATCATTTTTTTCATGACAATAAAAACTAGAAATTATAATTTTAGTAATAAAACATTTGGACCATTAGTTTCTATTGTTTTTAGATGGAACACATACTTGCATCTAGCTTTAGGATGGACGTTTTACACTTTATTGACCACATATGTAGTATTGCGATCGGTCCACCCTGCCTGAGACAATTTTCTATAAATTTTTAGATATCACCCTATCGCTCCATGCTTCACTTGAAATAGTATACCAAAAATAGACTCGTCCAAGGTACACAGCCCTTGGCCGAGTCGAATAACTCGGCCAAGTCTAAATAACTCGCCTGAGTTAGTACACCAAAAAAAGTGAAAAAAAAAATCTTAAAAAGGGTTAAAAATCTCTAAATTTTTTTAAAATAATAAAAACCTAAAATGATTAATAGAACCATTAAGATACTAAATAAGATGAAAAAACGCTATAAAAGATGGATTATTGAAAAAATGCATTTATACCTTGAATATTTTAGAAATTTCTTAAAAAGTGAAAACTTTGAAAGCTCCCAAATGATCTTAAAAACTAACAAAATCCTCTAAAACAGTATTTCTAACTATTATGCTAGTAGTTTCTTATTTTTTATATTTTTAAACATAGCTCTATTTTTTAAGTATTTGTTTGAGTTCGGTAAGTTGAACACCTAACTCCCCAAGAACGCACCTTGTCCATAGGGTGAGGCAAAGTTACTCGACTGAGTCTAAGTGGACTTGACTAACTACTGGCCTATTGCTTGAAATTATATACAAAGAAGCAAAATAATACTGAGAGGAACATTTTTGCTATGTGCTTTGAAAGATCGGCAATGTAACACTTTACCTATTACTCTTGATTTAATCACAGAATACCTAAGTTGAAAAAGTTCTAAAGGTAAATTTTTAAATGGGTGATGTTTGCATAAGATTCCAGTCCTAAACGACCAAAGTAACGCGCACTTGCAAATTTGTCATAAGATGTAATTTTTGGTATCAAAAAATTTTAGAATGGCAGGCGAATCTATTTTCATCTCTAATTATAAATTTCAAAATCTAAAATATTTCAAATGAAGTAGATCTATAAATGAGTGAAAATTTGGAATATGGATGTTCTAGATAATGTGATGCAAGATGTACTTTTTTGGAAATTGAAATCTTTTATTTTTTTTCATATCCATACATCTCGATATCGAGCTGATCAAGTAGATGGTTTTACAACATCAAAATTGCCTTTTCTGATTGATTTTTTAGATGCACCTTAATTCTAAGTATCAACCATATATAAACTTTTTTTTTGTTAAATTATTTATTTCTTGCATATATTTAATAAATTTCCTTTATTTGATTCTTCAAATCTATCCTTCCCATCAATACCATTTTTATCAAGTGGTGTGAAAAGAGCAAAGGACCCCTAGTCCCTATTTACTCTTTGGTTAAAATTCAAGACCTATGTGCTTGACTTAATTTGAAGATAAGCTTCGGCCACACCATGCGTGAAGCCAATGATGTCGCCGATGGGCTAGTTAAACATGGTGTTTCTCTTCCCTTTTTGTAAGTTTCTAACGATTTGATCCAACCTTTGTAATCTCATGCTCTTGAAGCATTGCTTTGATATATATTCATAACATTTGTCAAAAAAAAACGAGTTACTTTAATTGTCTTGATTTCCTACCTAGTAATGTTATCATCTGCTAAATTCAAACTCCTCATTGCGAAGACGGTAAAGTGATAAAACTATTATTCTATTAATTTAATAATCTTCATCCTTGATTCATTATATATATATATATATATATATATATATATATATATATATAGACATCATCCAAGCACTACTAGGACAAATAAAATACTAAAAAATAAAAATGAAATAGTGAATTAATTGGGTATAAAATTTCTATTGACTGATATGCTTTGAACCTAGTGACACTTCAGTGTGATCACCATATGATTGATTCACAATGAAAAAGAACAAATGAAAAGAAAAGAATAAAATATAGAATTAGGACCAGGGCCATATTAAAATCATAATGGAAAATCACTAGGTAGTTTGTTAGTTTTGAAAAGGCTCAAAGGTCATTTCTAAAATGGTAGGGGGACATGTGGCATGAAAAAAATTAAGGGGTTTGTCATTGTTTTACCGGAAAATTATCAAACTACTTATAAGAAATGAATAATTTAATATTTTACCAATATTTTTTATTTGATTTCAAAACATATATAAAAAAAATAGATGATTTTGAGTTGGAATAATTGTAAATAGTACAACATTGAATACTTCATTTCTCATGAGTATCTTAATAATTTTTCCTGGTTTATTACGAAGAGAGTGAATTTCCCCCTAAAAGAGAAGAAAGGAAAGAGACGCGTTTTGCATAACTTAGTCACAGCGCTTGAACTTTGGATGCTATGTTACAACTTACCAGAGAAAGAACTCAAAAATTTGAAACATAAAAACCTTAATTAATTATGCATTAGGATATAAATTCTCAACCTGTACAAATTACAAAGCATGTTATATCTTAATTGCCAGGTCATAGTTTAAATATGGAGATTTCAAACTTGGGCCCAGCTTCACCAAAGCTACTACAACCATAGCCCAGAAATTTTTTTTTGAGGATTCCAACATTCTAGACCATTGTATATCCTTTTTCATCACGACAACATGGTTTTGGTGCTCTCAAAAAGGTCTAATTTTTTGATCGATCTAACCTCCACTAAAATAGACAACCATATGTTAAGTTTGGAAAATTTGTGTGTATTTTCATTATCCCAAGATGGTGGATATATACATAACATACTTGATCATAATCCCTTTATTACTGGGATTTTACAAGTAGTATTACCAAGATATGGTTATATATCTTATAACAAGGAAAACTTCCACAAAGGATAACATTGACTTGGTAAGCCAGCTAAAACTCCCCTCGAGTTGGAGTATGAATGGCTAGAACACCCAACTTGAGGATTAGTGATAGAAACTGTTCTTTGCCCAATAAATGGTAGCATCTTGACGGGTAGTTGAAACATAAGATGTTCGTACAATGCCGGATTGAATCTTGTCTCTGATGAAAGTGGCAATCTATTTCAATGTCATTCGTGCATTCATGGAACACTGGGTTCGCATCAATGTAAAGAGTAGCTTGATTGTTACAAGTCAGGATGATTGCTTTTGAATGAAGGACACCCAAGTCACGAAAAAGAAAACAGAGCCATGTAATTTCACAACTTGAAGATGCCATCGCACGTTATTCTGCCTTAGTAGAAAAGCATTAGACGATGCGTTGTTTTTACGTCGTCTAGGATAACGGAGAGTTGCCGAACATGGCAAACTATTCAGAAGTGGACTGAAGTGTATCAGAATAACTTGCCCAGTCAGAGTCACAAAAAACTCTTAGCTGGAAGGTACTAGCGCAAGACATGAATAATCCTTGAACTGGAGAGAGCTTCGGATATCGAACTGGGTGTAGAGATGTTGCAAGATGTGGTTAGCAAGGTTGACTCATATACTGGCTAAGGATGTAGATATGATAAACAATATCGGGCCTTGTGATGGTCAAGTATATAGATCAACCAATAAGTCTTTGATATATAATAGGATAAGATAGAAGATTACCATAAGTGCCATTGAGTTTGTCGTGTTGTTCCATGGGTAGATGATCAGGGATTGTCCTAAAAAGCCTTAGTTCTTCAATAAATATATGCATAGAATACATTACCATAATCCTTTGACTATGAAAATTTTACAACAAGTATTACCAAGATATGATTATGCACATCTTACAAGAAGGAAAACTTCTATAAGGATAATGTTAATTTGGTAAGCCAACTAACATTATATTAAGCCAACTAACATTATATTAAGTGTTAAGATGAAAATCAAATGGAGGATTTTTGGAGCTATAAATTCTTCATTTTTATTTAAGTGTTATTATGGGACCAAATAATAGATTTGCATATGTGTTTGGTCTTCGCTCGTCCAAAATATTGAAAAAATGGTATGTAGTAGAGGGTACAACCATGGTAGTATTGTAATAATTCCCATTAGAATTCAAAAATAAGTTAGGGTCATCTTCATCAGAGCATTTTTTCAACTATTTGGGATTGGCTTATGAAATAAATTAAGTTGAACAAATAATATTAGAAACCTAAAGAGCATTGGCATCTGATTTCTTTTGTAGGCTAATGTCAACATCTTAGGCGCCAAGTGAGCTTACCAAATTTTATCAGTAGTGTCCTTTTATTCCTACATACATTTAAGAG